ACTAAGTTGTATCTTTTAAATAAAATCTTAGGCTCAAACTTTATGAATGGAAATGAAGTTATTAGAAAAGGAAAAACTCTATTAATGCAAATCAATCATGTTTTTGAATTTATAAAAAAAGGGTGAATATTTTTCACCAAAAAAAAAACACAACTTCTATGAATTCGGGATTTTTGAAAAACTGACGTGCATTAATTACAGTATTAGTTTATTAAAAATATAGATCGATATGCAAAATAATTATTAACTCCCTATTATGATTTTTATCAATATTTATTAAAATATGTAAGAATTACGAGATGAAAGTATATAATTAGAAAATAAAGTTAATATTGTTTGAAAATTTAAATGAACAGATAAAAAACAATAGCAGTTTTGTCTTACAGAAAAGAAAAATAAATTAGAGTAAACTTAGTTTCTTTTTTAAATGATGTGATTCTTGTTAGAAATTATATCTTATATTTACGATTAAAAGTCATATTTAACCATACGTAAATACAAAAAAAAAATAGAATATGTATAAAGTCATTCATGTTTAAATACTAATACCAGATAATATTATGTTATTAAAAAAATCCATGATCACTAGTTTCACTTGAAAATATAAATTATTAATTTACAATTTTAGTTTTTATACACTGGTCAGAATAAGTAAATTATAATTATTTTCAAAATAACTACTTAAATTTAAATTTATTTATAGCATATAAAATTTTATGAAACAGTGACAATGTGATTTTATCATATAAAATCATTTAAAATAACTCATGCATAAACACATTAATTCTCTCTAGGACCAAAACTTTATTTAGGAACGAAAACATATAGTTAAAAAGGGATACAATTAGGGTGGAAAACTACAATTACAAAGACAGAATAAAAAATATTAACTGAAAAAAGTCACATGGATTTAATTATTTAAATATAAAAGAAAGTGTGGTATTTTTAATTTGGCAATGATAGTTTGATAGATGAGAGAGAAGGAAAAAGGGTTTGTGTGGATTGAACTTTTAGACTTTTTAAAAAGTAATGTGGTAGATGATTTTGTCAAGGAATTGTTTCACTATTGGACAAAGATTTCATAACAAAAATATTATTATTATTTTTTCTTCTTCAAAATAATAAAGAATTTTGGTGTTTGATTAAGTGATTTTGTTGTTGATAGGTAAGATTTGAAAGGGAAAAGTGGTGTGTATGCTAAGTACCAACTCAATGTTACTCTTTACCACACAGAAAAGAGTTTGAGTGATTGGTGCAAAACAGCAAATAAAATCTCTTTCTCAAGTTGGAAGTTAAGGCCACACCACAAAAAGGGATACATTCAAATCATTTTCTCACCACAATCCGATCTCAATGCATCATTCTATTGCTTTATTCATTCATAATTTTTCTAATAAATCCTCAATTTCTCTCAAAAATAATTTTAAGAGAACTAATTCTATTTAGATAAGGGAAAATAACATTAAATTCAAAGAAAAAACGGTTGTTAAGTAATAGTTATTTTATACTCTAAGTAGTCTTTAAAGTAAAAAAGAAGTACAAGTAAAACATTTCAAATAGCCTAATGAATATTAATGGAAGAAAAAATCAAACAATTTCATCAGTCTAAATTCCACTTAACAATAAAAATAACATATAGAGGATCAAAATTAGTAGTTTGTTCATATCATATTCAAATTGGTTGTGTGAGTTATGTCAACTTTGGTCTTTGGATTATAAATCACATCATGCAAGCTATGTTATTGTGAATAATGAAGTTGCAATTGGTGAAGCAAAAACTAGTTCACAAAGTGGTACTTTTGGTGGGATTGAGAAAGTAAAAATGAAGTCGTGACTTTGGACATTGACTTCAATTTTTATTTATATTTTGCTTCTAAATGAGGCAAATTTTGACCCCTCCTTTCAAATTTGGATATTTCTTCAACCTTCCGTCACAATAAATAATGAGAATGTTTTGAGTTTCCATGGATATGGCATACACAAATGGCAAAGAGACTGAGTTAATATGTTGGCTTTATCACCTTCTCAGTGATGATGAAGAAAATAGCAAGTTGTTAAAAGTGGTTAAGAAGATATTTTGTGGATAATTTCTGGTCCACTGATATAGTATTTATAGGCTTTAATTAATCATGGTCTAAGAAAGGGTAAGCTATGTTACCTAAAGAAAAAATTGGAAAGAAAGAAGTGTACTTATGATTATGATTAGGCAAAGATAAAGAACCCAAAATCTAGGACTTAACAAGCGGTAGAGCATACTTTAACTTCATCTTCCAATTTTGTATATTACTATTTTTTTTATAAAAGTTTTTTTATCATGTTTTATTAATGATTAATTTTGGTCATAAAATATTATTACTTTTAATGATTTTTTTTCTCTAAATCATATTTTTATACTATTCAAACTCGATATTTAAAGAATAATTTCAATATTTTATCTATGCCATTTTATTTATGGAATATTTTTTTCCTTGATGAATTATACTAATATTAAAACATGTCACAATCAGAGCATCATGCATTCAATCTTTTATCCATAGTTGTTGATTGCATTGTTCCTCGAGTCTTTTCTTTATTGGTATTTAATAAACTTAAAGCATGAATCATTCATCGTGTGAGTGCTACACTACCTTCTATTTGTCTTCTTTTAAAAGCTTCAGTGCACTGAATATGTTAGATCAATAAAAATATTTCTAAAGTTATTATTATTCTCATTAACTTGCTTAAATAATTCTATATTAACCCTTTTGCTTTTTGAATGACCCAAAATTTAAATTTTCAAGCTAAATAATCTTGAAAAATAACCTTGACCTATCATGTACAAAGCATAGGCATGAACTGATCTAGACTTGAGGTAAACTAAACTATAAACTATACCAACAAATAAACAAATATTGCATTTAAATTTGAAAATCTAATCATGAATATCATAAAAAAAATTTATTAATAGTTTAATCATCTTGAGCCAGTTAGGTGAAACTGAATTTCAAAAACTCAATAATGTTGCCAATGAATATATCAGCCCATCTTTTCTTATTAAATAAATTTCTGAAAAACTCAACGTTCTTCCTTTATCTAAGAGGATGAGTTTTAGATGTGATATGATCCACTAACATGGCAATACATTATTAAGAGAGTGAAACATTGTAGATAAGTCATTAGTCAAATTTTCTTTCTTAATTGTATGCCTCTCTATGTATTGAGTGTTAAGGAAGATTGTCGCCATGAATGCATGTTTGGTCCCAATACATTTTTGAGATATCATGAATGCTTAGTTTACTGTCATATGCTGTCACAGTGAATTGTAGGGTATTGTCTAATCACACCAAATACATAAACAAATGACTTTAAAATGTGGTGAAGCAATGCAGTTCCAATTACTACAAGTTGATGCTAAGCCATTCATTTATTTTATGGATGAATTGTCTATTTTCTTGTATGAATGGAATTTTCAGCTATCAGGAGCAAAATTTATGTTCAACACATTGAGAACATGTCATAATGTCATGCAGAATAACCAATTCCACAGCCAAAGCATCATGCAAAAGGGTAATTGGGATTTTGAAAAGGTGAGAGGCACAATCTATACAACAAGAAGCAGTAATAGTTACAAATCCTTTCGTTGGTAAAAAATCACTTCATAGGTAGAACAGTAACATGTTTCTCCAATACATTAACTTTTGTATCATTGATGTTCATTTTCTATTTTATTAGCTATTTGATGTTTGAATAATGTATAGTTCATTTTTCTACCTTGTCATGTCACTTCCCATGGATTCAAAATCAAGTGTGCGAGCCAGCCCATGGGTTTAGCAATTTATGAGCTATGGGAACCCACACATGTCCCAATTTGGGCTTCTTTTCACAAGAAAGAAGAGCTCAAGCATTATAGACCAAAACATGCACAACGTGCTTACCAAAAAATATAAAACATGCATATCGTGATCCAACCACATATCCCCAGAGCATTGAAGACAACTAACATCAATTCATCTCCCACTACAAAAGCATCCAGCGGCCTCAATTAGAAATAGTTTTAATCACAGTAGCAACTCTTATGAGATTTAGAAATAATTCTGATACAGTACAAACCATAATACATAACAAGGACCCTTCAACCTAAAAAGTCATGAATTGAATTAAAAGATACATCTGGCCTTGGTCATCCAATTTGGATAATGGTAGACCTTCAATACAATTTACTGATAGTCAATTTGAATTCCATGAATTTCTGAATTAGCAAAATAATCAATAATTAAATATGTCCATATAAATAGTATTTTTCGCAGCTATTATCCGAGTCAGACGAATTCAGCTTCCGGTACCAATCGGTTTAGGCCTAGTTTTAAACAAGATACTTTCATCACGTTTACATTTGTTACAAGATTAACCATAAAAAGCCTCTAGTTTTAAACACGAATACAACCATACTTTCATCACGTTTACATTTGTTACAAGATTAACCATAAAAAGCCTCACGTTTACATTTGTTACAAGATTAACCATAAAAAGCATCTAAATATGTGGCCTTTCCGACCATGACAAAAAATTGTATGCTTTTTTTTTTTTTTATCAAACTTCATATATCCTCCCCAATTTCATGTATGGATAAGAAAGAGCAGGGTTGAATTAGGCAGTGGCCAAGAGCCAACGTAAAACCTTTTTGAATCTTTTATATATTGAACAATCAAAAAATAAATTACAAGTGTAAAATAACATCTGAGACCATACGAAAAAAATATTTAATAGAAGACTTTGTTCAATATACATTTACTGAAAATTTGATAGTTCATAAAATCCATTGATGACTGCCACATGTAACAGACCCACCTAGTACTGGTAAGATACGATTTGATGTTGCCAGACACAAACACACCACTATAATAAAATGAATAACAGTAGATCATTGTCACTTGAAACATTAAACTTCTATTCCAGATCCAGTCAATTCCGATTACTTTAAACAACAAAGCCTAGGGAATAGTGAGCTAGAGAGAATGAGAAGATCCATGTGCCCATGACCATGATTAACCTAGAAGTAAATTCTATACATACAATTACAGAGTGATTCAAGTAATAAAAAATTGTGACACTGGACATTCCCTCACAATTCTTAGTTACAGAATCTACTTGCCCTGTGTCAATGAAGTAAAGTCCCAGACTAACTTGTGAGGACTACACAGTCTGGGTGTAAAAACTTGAATACTGACAAAATAACTGAATTAGTAATCTATTGAGGGTAATAAGATGCTTGGTAATGATGTTGCAGACCACTACCACCAAAGGTAGAGGTTCTATCATAATAACCACCAGTTGGCACTTGTGGCTCTGATGAACTTAGATGAGAAACTCTTACATTGGGGTTGCCACGGGGACCCATTGGGACACCATCATGGCCATAATAAGATCCGGCTGAAGGACCTGCATATGGAAGAAATTTTGCGGTAGAAGCCATCATGCCAAATGGCACGGCTGGCGAGCTCCTATAGGGATTTGGATGCTCTGGAAACAAACCTGATGGATGGACACGAGTTTGCTGGTAGTGGTGCATTGCTGAATTGGCATTCTTGAGGACAGCTGTAGCAACAACTGGAGCAGATGCTCGAGGATGCTTGATCCAAGTCTGCTGCTGCTTTTGCATATTCCTCTTTTGCTGTTGTTGTTGCTGCTTATGTTGAGGTTTTGAAGCAGGTGCTGGAGTAGATCGTTTATTATTTGTCTTCTGCTTCTTTAATTGCTCTATACGCTGCTCAACGCTGGCTCGTAGGTGTTCAGTTTCAAGCTTAAAATTCTCAATAATCTTGATCACCAATTTCAGTGTATGAATTTCTCTAGCAGTACTCTCACTCTGCAAACATACCTCAATAAATATAGAGTATTATTTTAGGAAACATGCATTGACAAGGTGACACACTTACAGATGAATTTCCTTCTTCGGAAAGTTTTCTACCAAGTTTCTTAGCCTCATCCACAGCAGCTTCCAAAACAGGAACAGGTGGAATCTTATCAGCAAGATTAAACTCAAGAATATACTTGACAGCAGGGATATGTTTGTCCTTATCTATAAGTTTCTGAACAATATCTGAAAACCACAAGTATAACCTCATCAATGAAACTACATAAGAGAGGGTAACACCACAAATTAAGTCTCCAATATACATATGTATATGTCACACACATAGTTTATTGTCCTCCAAATCAAAGTTATCAAACTTGAGAGTTTACATAAATTCATGGGAGCTTCATAAACTTAACTTATGGGAGACTTTACTTCATATTAAAATACCTATAAAATATAATGATTCAACATTTTAATTTCATAATAAAACAAACTAATAAACATCAACAGTAAAGTAACTAGCAGTAGATAATTCTAAATAATTTCAAACTATACAAATTAGAATAACAAAGCATTTTTTTCAACAAATTCATTTTCTAAAATTTGGGAAAGGACAAGCAGTATGTTCAACCAAAACTATGATCCAAAATACAAAACAATAGAAAATTAATGATAGGTTTTGTATTGTATATAAGAGAAGGAATAACTAAGGCGGTGTGCCAGCTGGATCTGAACTATTTAAATAGTTCAGGGACAGTTTTTTTTTTTGGTGGGGGTGGGGGGGACTTTGTAGTCGGAGTGTGGAGAGTGGGGTTCTCTTGTATAACCTTGGTAGATAAAAGAATTGTAATGCTTTCAGACTCTGGTCTATTCCTACTGCAGTGGCAAGAATTGGATCTGGGTATAGCAATAAAGATTGACAAGAAGAGTGTGTTTTTAATCTTGATTGAATACTAGTTCTATCAGTTAACTACTAGGAAGATGCAATGCAATTAAAGTCAGTCCCAGGAAGCTGAAATTATGTCCAAGGAGCAACAGTTAGCAATTCTAACTGAACAGCAGTAGGGAAAGAACAAAGGAAAACCAAGTGAGGTACAGGATCAAAGCCAATTCACAGATGAAGAACATTGAAGAAGGGGATGTGGTGACGGCATCACGAACAGAAAAGGAGATATGAAGAGAAGAACAATGAATAAAAGGGAAGTCGTGAAATGCAATAATGAAAAACCCTTATTGCAAGTCTTCTCCTTTTTCCTATTTTCACAAGCCAAACGACAAAGACAGGGGTGTTTCATTTAAAGAAAACAGCCCACAGCTGAACTTGCCAGCTCGGTCCTAAACTTGCTAGTTGGCTGAGTTCATCCGAGTTCACCATGAGCCCATTGAGTTTACTATAAAATGATTCTACTACCGAGTCAACTTGAAAACGAACAGTAAGATTGTAAACTCTTACAATCGTGAGTTTGATAACCATACTCCAAATGGGAAAAGAAAACTGACTCATGCCAAAAGAAAACAAATTATGCTTAATTTTTCATTAACTAGACATCATTTTTCATCATCCGGGAGAGAGTAACGGAATCTTTCCCTGGATCATCACTAAACCTTACTTAGTGGAAGATTCCAATTTCCAATGATTAACCAAGTTAGCCATCTTATTCACCATAAAGGAAGGAGGTAAACTACACAGCATCTCGTGTGAACTATGTCAACGGTTACATATTGTTAACTAATTGTTTATTATTTATTGAGTAGCTTTTATAAAGCTTTCCTTTTTGGATGTATCTAGTTGGTACTAGAGCAGGAAAGATCCTGCATTACATCTTCTTCCTTACCTGCCTGGCCGCTATGCACCACTGCCATCATCAATCACAATTTTCTCAAACCTAAGGTCAGGTCTGCCTCAAGGAGCATAACCCAATTCAAGAAGCCGCATGGCCAAATACTCAGGCACGCTTTCTCACTCAGATTTTCTCCAGCAATATGCCGCCATACAAATGAATCTCACACATCACCATCCACTTGTTGGAATCTCAACCAACCATCTCTGCCAGCTTCATCATCATCTTCTTGGAACATCTCTGCCCTTAATTCTTGGTTTCAACCTACTTGATGTTGGGCACATTTTGGTTCTCCGTTTCTCCCTTTAGCAGCATGTTTTGTGCAATTGAAATGGATTTTGCAGGTCCTGTTCTTCCTTTTTCTGGTACTCCTACCATTACAATTGTAAAACTCAACTGGAAAAACTACTTTTCTTGGTCTGCATCAGTGCAGATGTGGTTCCTAAGTCAAGGATACCAAGACCATTTGGAGAAGGAAGCTATAGTTATTCCCATTGAAAATAAATCTCAGTGGTTAAAATAACACCTACAGTGTCCTTTTCTTTTCATGTTCATTCCCGTACACTTTAAATTTTTAACTAATAATCACATTGTTTTCACCATATTTTCTGATTACAAATTGCTTCGTGTTTTTCACCATTTCTTTTGCAGAATCTTCAAAACAGAAAACAAAGGTTAAACAAGACCCCCCCTTTCAATTCAAGTCATATTACTTGCACATACAAAGCAAGTGCATAACTCTAACTACCATTCATTTCTTTATCATTCATCAATACACAACAGTTCTAATACCCCTATGTGAGATATGCGTGCAAAACTAATGTCCAATAATCATTTCTCAAACAAAATACATTCTAACGCACAACTATTTTAAAACACCAATCTCCAACAACAACACATCAATCACATCATGCTCCAAGCAATTAAAATGTCAAACACAATCAACTCATACAAAAGACAACATCCTTACCGGGAACTTTCTCTGTCAACCCGACAGCTCGGCACAGCTCTGGGAACTCCTCATTGGCGGGGGCCACGACCGAAAAGTCAACAAGCTCATCCCAGCTGAATTCAGACACCAAACCAAATGCAGCAATCAAATGCAAAAGCCCCAAAGCTTCAAACGCGTTGTTATCATCACCCACCAACTTCTCCTTCCATGCCTGGGCCAACTTCACAGCTCTCAAACTGGCCTCAGCACTCACACTTAGAGCGGCAACCCTGAATTGCCTCAACAGCACAACACAGCTCTTCCTCATATTCCTCAATTCCCATTTCTTCAATCCGCTACCATCTCCATGAAACCCCTCCAACGCATCCAGAACCATCGCACCCGCGTCCGGCGCATGGCGAAACGCACCGGGAAGCTCCGCCTGAACCCTGGCCATGTCCAAAAAATTGTCATGGACGTAATTTCTCAGCCCCACGCCGTCCATTTTCTCGCAAAGAACGACCAATTCGTTTCCAGGTGCAACCGGGCCTGGAACGGCGTCGTTTTGGGGGAACACCCCAGGTGAAGATTCGTCATGATTCGATGATGAGTTTTTAGGGTTTGATGAAAATTTTGCTTCATTAGGGGTTTGAGCAGGTGGGTCGGGAATTGGGGTTGTGGTTAGGGTTAGGGTTTGGGATTGGAGGAGGCGGAGGCGGTGGGAGAGAGAGTGGTGGAGCGAGGTGAAGTGAGAATCGAGGTCTGACCATGCGAGAGGAAGAGGAGAGAGAAGGGATTGAAGATCATCGAAGGCTTTCTTCAGATTCTCTTTCTTGGAATCGACCAGGTTAAGTGCCGTTGCGATCGTGTTCAGTGTATCCATTGTTGGGGCTTTCAAAATTCACATGTACATTCGAACGACGTTAATCGAATGGAGGTGCCTTTAGAAACTATGAAAATGTTATTTTGATGAGTAAAATTGGGTTAAAAATAAAATTTAATGAGGTTGTAATTTTATAGTCTTTTTCGGTTCTAATGTAGTCAAGGATTTTGTATTTTTGTTTTTTATGACATGTATAGTGTGGAAATTTAAAAGAAAGAATTTTAAAAATTTATAATATTTTATAGAGTTAATGTTGGAAAGGAGAGAAAAAGATAAAAGATTGACACGGGAAGACTTCTTAGAACTAGTCTTTTTTATTATTATTAAAATAATTAAATGAATACTACGTGACGAATTTAAATAAAAATAATGAATAATATTAATGTATTATATGTGAATTTTTAGATGTTGAAAATAGTATTCGTAATTCGTAATCAATTGACAATGAGCTTAAGATAATAGTTTAAATATTTGAATTTGTTTTTAAAAAAAGTTTGCACTTTTAATAACATCTGCTTTTGTATTAATATATTTAGGTGTTGGTTTTTGTCATCTGAAATAAAATAAATAAGTATAATAATCATTTGTATAATATTAAAATTTTAAATATGACAAACAAATGAGTACAATATCTATTATAGAGTTTCTATCATCAAATCTCAGTGTATGTCACTTAAAGTACACATGAAGATTTATCTAAAAATTTGTTATTTTACGATGGTCTTCGACACTGCTATATTTGAATTTGAGGGCTTCTCCTGCACTTCTAATTCTTTCAAAAATTCCATAACTATCTTTGGTAAAAAAATTTAAGCGGTTAAACTTTTTTAACATTTTTCTCTCTTAATAAAGTCACAGACTCATCACCTTGACACATTTTGGATTTGGAATTTAAAACTCTAAACAAAGTGTGGCGCTGCACCCCTTTCTATTTCTTCATCTTAGTCCCACATTCTCTTCAACCCTTTTTCTTCTTTTTCTTTTTCTTTGCATGTTCACTTGTGTAGACTGTGATTTTTCTTTCCTTTCTCTGTACTAAACAAAAGCTGCAAAGGTTTTTATCATGTTCAACAAGCTAAATGTTTTTTTTTTTATATTTACTATAGAAAAGCTCACAAAATTACAAACAAAATTTCTTCAAATATATAAATTATTATTCTTAAGGACTTATTCAGCGCAAGTCTCCTAAGATAACAGGAATTTCTTAAGAATTTCTAAACATCTCAGAACTGGTAAGAAACTCTAAAAAGAGTAAAAGAAAAATTCTAAGATTTTATTAGAAGGAAAGAGAAAGGAGAGAAAAAGATTATGAGAGAGTTGTTTTTGTTGTGTCCTTGGAGTGAATGAGATGTTCTATTTATAAAGCTAAAAGGGAGCCACAATGTCCACTAATTCAGGAAAAATCTCGTGGTTAAGGAAGAGCTCAACAACCAACTCAATCCCAAACCTTGCGGGAAGAGAAGTAGCATTGCTTGTGGAAGAAAATTGAAATGAGATTTGAGGGAAGAGAAAAACAATGTCAATGTTCAAAAACAAGATATTTTTTGAAATATCATATTCAAATTTTATAACAATCTTCCACATATTACAAAAGATAAGAAACAACGATTGAAAGAAAGAGGAAAAATCATGAATTTTATAAGATGTAATGCATCAGAGCTGGTATAGCAAGCTATATGAACCAAACATAGATCAAGAAACTTAACACATAATATAGTTGGTATAACAAGCTATATGAACCAAAGGCACTTGAGTGTGTTAGAGGTTTATCAATCATAATACACCCCCACAATCCTTGTTGTTATCAATGTGATGTGCTTACTAGGCCATGCGCGTGCTCGATATTCATGAGTGCTCTAGAGATTATGTTAAGATCTCATACAAGTAGCCCCACTTGGAACTCATATAGGTGATTTCATCAAGTGTATGCTGCAAATCATACACCACTTATAAGGGATATGAAGATCATTAAAAACTTTGTTTAATTACAAAGTTTAACCTCTCAATAATGCAGTCTCTAGCACTTTCACAAATACCATATGAATGGACATATTTGATCTAAAATCAAAATAGTTCTATCAGAACTAACAAGTGACTTGTTTTTACCCATATGAACATTATTCATGGGGTCTCCAATTACAAAGGTTGGATTACCATCACTTGTTTGTTTGCTAGTAGCGTAAGTCTCATTTCCCTCGATGTTTCTAAGATCATATTTCTTCTCAAGGATTTTATTAGAGGATCTGTTAGATTTCGTTCTGACTTCACATAACCAATGAAATAGTTCCACTCTTTAGAACCTGCTTCACAAAAATTGTGTTTTAATTGTATATGTATATTCTTTCCATTATAATTTTTGGTTTTAGCTATAGCTATTGTCGATTAACAATCACAGTGTATTGACACCGATGGGGTTGGTTTCATTCCTAGTGGAATGTTTGCTAAGAAGTTTTTCAACCACTCAGCCTCACTACCAGCCATCTTAAGAGCAACAAATTCAGATTCTATTGTTGATCTTGCAATAATTGTTTGTCTGGCTAATCTCGATGTAATCACACACCCCCAAGTGCGAATACATAACCACTAATGGATTTTGTCTCATCTGAATCAGAGATCTAGTTAGCATCATTGTACCCTTCTAATACATCGGGAAATCTAGATATTTAATGACATAATTCATTGAACCTCTTAAGTATCTCATAAGCCTAGAAAGTGAATCCCAATGTTCTTAATTTGGACATTGAATGTACCTACTTAATCTACCTACTGCATAATCAATATCAGGTCTAAAAAAGCTCATCAAGTGTAGTAAGCTCCCAATTATCTGGGCATACTAAGGCTGAGATACAAAATTCTCTTATATTTTTCATTAATTTAGAGTTAGCCTCATAAGGGATACTCATGGGTTTGAAGTTATAATACCCAAACTTCCTAAGAAGTTTCTCAATGTATTNATTTTACGATGGTCTTCGACACTGCTATATTTGAATTTGAGGGCTTCTCCTGCACTTCTAATTCTTTCAAAAATTCCATAACTATCTTTGGTAAAAAAATTTAAGCGGTTAAACTTTTTTAACATTTTTCTCTCTTAATAAAGTCACAGACTCATCACCTTGACACATTTTGGATTTGGAATTTAAAACTCTAAACAAAGTGTGGCGCTGCACCCCTTTCTATTTCTTCATCTTAGTCCCACATTCTCTTCAACCCTTTTTCTTCTTTTTCTTTTTCTTTGCATGTTCACTTGTGTAGACTGTGATTTTTCTTTCCTTTCTCTGTACTAAACAAAAGCTGCAAAGGTTTTTATCATGTTCAACAAGCTAAATGTTTTTTTTTTTATATTTACTATAGAAAAGCTCACAAAATTACAAACAAAATTTCTTCAAATATATAAATTATTATTCTTAAGGACTTATTCAGCGCAAGTCTCCTAAGATAACAGGAATTTCTTAAGAATTTCTAAACATCTCAGAACTGGTAAGAAACTCTAAAAAGAGTAAAAGAAAAATTCTAAGATTTTATTAGAAGGAAAGAGAAAGGAGAGAAAAAGATTATGAGAGAGTTGTTTTTGTTGTGTCCTTGGAGTGAATGAGATGTTCTATTTATAAAGCTAAAAGGGAGCCACAATGTCCACTAATTCAGGAAAAATCTCGTGGTTAAGGAAGAGCTCAACAACCAACTCAATCCCAAACCTTGCGGGAAGAGAAGTAGCATTGCTTGTGGAAGAAAATTGAAATGAGATTTGAGGGAAGAGAAAAACAATGTCAATGTTCAAAAACAAGATATTTTTTGAAATATCATATTCAAATTTTATAACAATCTTCCACATATTACAAAAGATAAGAAACAACGATTGAAAGAAAGAGGAAAAATCATGAATTTTATAAGATGTAATGCATCAGAGCTGGTATAGCAAGCTATATGAACCAAACATAGATCAAGAAACTTAACACATAATATAGTTGGTATAACAAGCTATATGAACCAAAGGCACTTGAGTGTGTTAGAGGTTTATCAATCATAATACACCCCCACAATCCTTGTTGTTATCAATGTGATGTGCTTACTAGGCCATGCGCGTGCTCGATATTCATGAGTGCTCTAGAGATTATGTTAAGATCTCATACAAGTAGCCCCACTTGGAACTCATATAGGTGATTTCATCAAGTGTATGCTGCAAATCATACACCACTTATAAGGGATATGAAGATCATTAAAAACTTTGTTTAATTACAAAGTTTAACCTCTCAATAATGCAGTCTCTAGCACTTTCACAAATACCATATGAATGGACATATTTGATCTAAAATCAAAATAGTTCTATCAGAACTAACAAGTGACTTGTTTTTACCCATATGAACATTATTCATGGGGTCTCCAATTACAAAGGTTGGATTACCATCACTTGTTTGTTTGCTAGTAGCGTAAGTCTCATTTCCCTCGATGTTTCTAAGATCATATTTCTTCTCAAGGATTTTATTAGAGGATCTGTTAGATTTCGTTCTGACTTCACATAACCAATGAAATAGTTCCACTCTTTAGAACCTGCTTCACAAAAATTGTGTTTTAATTGTATATGTATATTCTTTCCATTATAATTTTTGGTTTTAGCTATAGCTATTGACGATTAACAATCACAGTGTATTGACACCGATGGGGTTGGTTTCATTCCTAGTGGAATGTTTGCTAAGAAGTTTTTCAACCACTCAGCCTCACTACCAGCCATCTTAAGAGCAACAAATTCAGATTCTATTGTTGATCTTGCAATAATTGTTTGTCTGGCTAATCTCGATGTAATCACACACCCCCAAGTGCGAATACATAACCACTAATGGATTTTGTCTCATCTGAATCAGAGATCTAGTTAGCATCATTGTACCCTTCTAATACATCGGGAAATCTAGATATTTAATGACATAATTCATTGAACCTCTTAAGTATCTCATAAGCCTAGAAAGTGAATCCCAATGTTCTTAATTTGGACATTGAATGTACCTACTTAATCTACCTACTGCATAATCAATATCAGGTCTAAAAAAGCTCATCAAGTGTAGTAAGCTCCCAATTATCTGGGCATACTAAG